GTGTCTTTTGGCCATTTGAACTTCTTCTGTTGAGAGATCTCTGTTCAACTCAGTGCCCCATTTTATAATTGGGTTGATTAGCCTTTTACGGTCTAGTTTCTTGAGTTCTTTATATATTTTGGAGATCAGACCTTTGTCAGTTGCGGGGTTGGTGAAGATCTTCTCCCAGTCAGTGGGTTGCCTTTCTGTCTTAGCAACAGTGTCCTTTGCTTTACAGAAGCTTCTCAGTCTCAGGAGGTCCCATTTATTCATTGAGGCCCTTAGTGTCTGTGCTGCTGCGGTTATTATCTCGCCCCATGGTCACCTCCCTGAACAACACCTGCAGGGAACTCCCACACTTATCCTCTAGCCGATATGGTTATTTCATGGCTCATTAGAATGAGGGTCTCTGTGGTAACCACCCTGGAGACTTAACAAGTTTGCTAACTAACCTGTAAGCCCTTTTGAAACTGCTGCTCTTAGAACTGCCCCTAAGTATGCAGTCCAAACCCCCAAAATATTTATTTCATTTTCAAAAGGATTATATCAAACCTGACATTGTATGTAAATAGCTTTCTTGAATTTCTGAAGTAGATATAATCTTATTATTGAATAAATAAATTTTAATATTTCCAGAGAAGAGCTGTGCTTTTTTGCAACTGGTGGTTTGCCATTGTGTTCAGAACCCAACTTTAAATTTATCTAATGAAAACTTTCACGTAAACTGTGGGGAAAACAAACAATTCTGATGACCTAAGTCTTGGCTCAAGTACAAGAAAACTAAGCAGTGAGCTTACAATAGAACCCAAGTTCTGGTAATACCATTTGCAAAGACAAACTGCTTCTGTATAATGAGGTTATTGACCTGCACAGTTTTAGAATGGTTTTGAATGTGAGAGTAAGGCTCCCTAAATCTCAGCCAGCAACATTAGCTGAGAAACCAAAACTGATCAATAAACAGCCGCCATTTACAGGCTCTCAGGAACCTTTATCACAGTGGAAGCCATTACAATTTTGGCCCGACACTGAGAATAAGGTAAACGCTACCTAACATTTAGTTATCATCTATCACTGGCTTCTCATTTGCAAATGGAAACCATTGATTAGGTGTTTGTTTGTTTCAACTGACCTAGCTTTCTATTTCTCTTCTCAGGTAAGATTCAGTGATTAAATGTACCCTGGACTTCAAAATGAACACACAAAAATAAAGCAAGTAAAAAGCTCTCACCCAGGCCGACTTTTTACTGGACAAAGATGCAATTACATGACATTTCGCTAAAAATTCCTGACCTAATAAAGTACTAAAGCCTGAATGCATGTTTTCTCTTCTTTCATAAGAAATAGCAACAGAGCAAAGAAAGGTCATAGACTATATTGTGAGTCTTTACAGCTGTTGAAGATAGTGGGATGCAATGGCTTGCTTTAAATTAAAGCAAACAATATGAAGAGTATCAAGGCTGGCAAGCAAAGCAATAAAACCCCCAAAGAATTTAATCTACCTTGAAGGTGGAACTACTTTTCGTATTAGTGGTACCATACTGCGGCAGAAATGAGTCCTCTAATGCAATGGCTTGTTAATAGGCTTAAGATCACAATATAGAAATAGGAAATGTTGATCAAAAAGACAGCTTTACCTCTGTGATTGTAGCATGGCCAATATTTCCTTACAAATTATTTCAATGATTATAAATAGAGCTTGTCAATGGCAAGTGTCCAACAGGGGAAGTATAACCCATTATGGGGTAATAGATATTGCTAGAGGTTGCTTCATTACCTTCACTGGCTGAGTGCTTGGTTTTTCCTTGTACAAATGCTGCCCTTCAGACAACAGCCTTTCCACTTCCGGTTGTTTAGCTTGAAGTGTGACTTCTGTTTCCTGGGGAAAAGAATCCATACAGTGCAGATTAACTTCACAGTTAGCAATAAAATTCCTAAATTTAAATATACCCTTGGAGACTCCACATGTATTGTGGATCAATTTCTGCATGGTAAACAGAGGCAGAAAATGTAGCTTTTGATGAAGAGAAAATAAATAGAAGTTCTTATGCAATACACTAGCATTAAAACAATCCAAGATCTTGAGTTGTGTCGTGGTAATATTGTGGACAAACACAGACAGTATGCATTTTTAAAAGCAAAATGCAATAATAAGAAGTATAATTTATCACTATAATCGATTCATATAAACAGCAGATTTAACATTAATAATACTCATAATGCTAATGTTTACTGTACCTTACAGACTCCTTATTATATAGATTTCTGTTTTGAAATCAGATCTAAAGTATCCACGTCTGTCTGTCTCTGTCCTTCTCAATCTCTCTCGCCCTCACATACACCCTTTCTCTACATGTGAGTATATTTGTACGAGAACCCCCAAATTCTTTCCATGTTTTTGTTGAAATGAAGTTTCTTTCCAAACAAAAAACATAAAGCACAGTACCAAAGCGCATCATTTATTAAACACTCAAATTAAACAGGTCTTCTGCGGAATGATTAGATTATTTTTCATATCATTTATTTTTTTCACTGCCTAGGGACAACTGAAGCATGGCAGAAAAAGCAAACACCCCTTTAGGTATATGAATATAATAGTGTTTTCTTACTGACTTCTGTCTAGCTCTTGAAGAAACAACAAAAGCAATGTGAATAATTGAAACGGAAGGAAGTGAAATTCAGTATTACAGAAGAATTTTTGGATGGAACATTTGTTAAACACTGGGGTGCTATATCGATTAGCCAATGTCATGTGTCCAGACGGGGCCTGGGTAACCTTCCTCCGAGGTGCTTTTGATTAGCAAGCATTCTCATCACCCCTCTCCTATCTGGTGGCTCCTGGCAGTGGTGTATGGACATGTCTTCTGGCTTTAGTTTATTATATACGCTGTGATTTCACAAGTTCCCCTCTCAGTCCACAAGGGTGGCAACCTGTGAATCCAAGTTATTATAATCTGATCATGCACAGCAGGATATCTTGAAACTTATCAGTGCTCAGCACTTGCTCTTGAGGAAGATTGTTTGTCTTGTTATTATTAGAATAAATGCAAGTGTGGGACGGGTGCTTAGGTCAAAGGTGTACCTATCATTATGAGTATTTTCTCTATATTAAAATAACAAACTACATACTTTACTTTCCCCAGACAGCTGGTTAATGCTCTTCTGACCACTGTCAGAAAAGGGCTGTGCTTTCAAGTAATTCCTTGATAGGAGTAGACTAGTTAATATCACAGATCAGGAACAAGACACATCTATTTATAGGCAGTGGTTGCCTAAAAGGACTCCAACAACTACCCATTTTCCCTTGACTCAATTTACAAGACATTTTAGCATAGTTAAAGGTCATATTTCCTAAATATAATTTGAAAAAAAAAGTTCTAAAGAATGAGAAAATGATTAGCAAGGTCAACTTACTTTCGAAGTAAAGCAAAGCAAGCACAGTTTTAACCTGCCCATGTGTGATTTGCGTGTGCCAGGCATTACCGAGATAAGTCTATGTTCTTCATAGGAGCACTTTTGGAATGAAGCTGTGCTTGCAAAGACTGACTAATTGATGAGAACCGCAGTGATGTGAAGGGGGGCCAATGTTGCAGGCTAACAGCCTAATGACCTGACGTGGTGCTAGCTTTGGCCACTTAAATAATCCCTTGCCCACCTCTGTGTCAGAACTAACATCTTGTGACTAATAGATAAAAAACATTTTAAAATCTGTAAATTTGCTGAGCACTAGCTTCCACCAATCACAAAGCTAAGACTGCCAAGATAACATTTGAGGCTTACAGGGGAGATTACCTTATCTTGTTGTAATCTGACTATAAGATGTACCTATCATTGTATTTTCATTTTGCCTTTATTTATGACATTATTTGTTCTGATACTATAATGCCATAATAAAGCGAGAGACTGTTTCCATGTAGAAACATAGATCCAGGGAAAACTACATGGCTCTATGTTTCCTGGGCCATGGTCACTCAAATTGGGCTACAGAATAAGCATGTCTCATTCATTTTCAAGTGAGATCTGTGGCTTTTGTATCAACAGGAACCTATCTAAATTACATCACATTTTATATTTGAAATGAATTAGTTTGAACCAGAGTCACTGGCATTTTTTACACTTGACATAGGAAAAGTAGTTCTTAATGTGGGTTTGTCATTTTAATAGAGCACTAAAGTTGGAGTGGATGGAGGACTATAATTCACATTAAAACCAGCAACTTCTAATATATCCAAAACCTGCCCTGTTTTAGATTAAAAAAAAAGACATCCTTTCTTTCAAACACTCTCAATTGTCTTTTTCGTTACATACTAAACAAAGAAGATCAACCACAGATACCTTCTACTGAAATATATGTCCCAAGGTACAGATAAAAGCTGGTATTTGTTTTTTTGACACAGTTTTAATTTTATAATATTTATATAGTTTTGCACTTCTCATATTATTCCTATCAATAACATTTATTTTAATAAAACATTATTACTGGAATATAATCTGTGTAAGAGTGGGGCTGTGAAATTTCCTTTTGGAGGGGAGAGGAGCTGTGGGACCCTGCTTCTTCCTAGGGAGCTGTTAGCCACTAATGGTTGCTGGGTGAGGAAAAAAATTTTCTTCCATGCTAGTGGTAAGATGTTCATGCTCCAGTGAATTTTTCCATACCTGTTCTCATGCAGGAGGCACTAGGCATACACACACACACACACACACACACACAAACACATGCATGCGTGTGCACACACACAGTACAATGTGGGAAAGTGGGAAGGATGTGGATTGGAAGAAGTGTTGGGTGGCAATGGGACTATGTAAGAGGCAGGGTGTGTCAGAACATGTTCCAAGAGAGAGTCATATGAGGGGAATTCTGAGTACTTTTAAGAAAGATCCAAGAAAACAAAACAAGAACCTTGTGACTTCAGTTTCTTTGAAAACAGAGAATTGTTCTTTGAATGTACATGGACTTCTTGCCCCTCCAGGTACAGCCAATAGGAGTGAGTTTACTAATTATTCTATTCAACACAACTGGCTTTTGTTATTTGTTTATGTGCCTTTATGAAAAAAAAAAACATGTTTTTGCGACATGTGGCTTGTTGTGATTATATACACTTTGGATTCATGATAACTTTATTCTTCTGATCTTTCTTAACCCTCAGGGTGTAAATTGTCTGATGTTCTGAATAAGGTTGGATATTGCATGAGACTTTAATCTGTCTCATTTATTGACTCTGTTCTCCCAGGTTCCACTGCCCCTAGAGCGGGAACAAGGGTGTTAAATCTCAGGAACCTAAGAGCTAATACCTATACTCCTCAAAGTGTTCCACATAATAGAAACAGAAGGAACATGGCCAAACTCTATGTGGTTACAGTTACCGTGATATTGAAACCACACAAAGACTCAACCAAGAATGAGAATTATAGACCAATCTCACTCATGAACATAGATGCAAAATTACTCAATAAAATACTAGCAAACAGAATCCAAGAAAACATAAAAAATCATCCACCATGTTCAAGATGGCTTCATCCCAGAGATGCAGGGCTGGTTCAACATATGAAAATCTGTCAAGGTAATACATTGTATAAATAAACTGAAAAAGTATAATTATCTAATTAGATCCTGAAATAGCATTCAACAAAATTCAACACCCCTTCATGATAAAGGTCTTGGAGAGATCCGAGATACAAAGAACATATCTAAAGATAATAAAAGCAATATACAGAAAGTCTACATCCAACATTAAATTAAATGGAGAGCTGAGAAGGAAATCAGAGAAACATCACCCTTCACAATAGCCACAAGTAACATAAAATATCTTGGGGGTAAAACTAACCAAAGAAGTGAAAAACCTCTTAGACAAGAACTTTAAGTCTTTGAAGAAAGAAATTGAAGAAGATAACAGAAAATTGAAAGATCTTCCATGCTCTTGGATAGGTAGGATTATCATATTAAAAATGGTAATTCTACCAAAAGCAATCTATACATTCAATGCAATTCCCATTAAAAACTCAACACAATTCTTCACAGACCTTGAAAGAACAATTATTAACTTCATATGAACAAACAAACAAACAAACAAAAAAAAAACAGGATAGCCAAAACAATCCTGTACAATAAAAGGAACTTCCAGAAGCATTACCATCCCTGACATCAAGCTCTGCTACAGAGCTACAGTAATGTAAACAGCTTGGTTTTGGCATCAAACCAGACAGGTTGACCAATGGAACTGAATCGAAGACTGATATATTAATCCACACATCTATGAACACCCGATATTTGACAAAGAAACTAACATTTTACAATGGAAAAAAAGAAAGAGTTTTCAACAAATGGTACTGATATAACTGGATGTCAACATGTAGAAGAATATCAATAGGTCTATATGTATCCCAATTCACAAAACTCAAGTCTAAATGAATATAAGACCTCAATATAAATCCAACCACACGGAACCTCATAGAATAGAGAGTGGGAAGTTGTCTTCCAATGCATTGGCCCAGGAGTTCACTTTCCAAATATAATCCCAGTAGCATAGACACTGCAAGCAACAATAAATAAATGTGACCTCCTGAAACTGAGAAGCTTCTGTAAAGCACAGAACACAGCCAATACAACAAAAAGGCAGCCTACTGAATGGGAAAGATCATCACCAACCCAACATCAGACAAAGAACTGATCTCTAAAATATATAAAGAATTCAAAAAATTAGACATCAAAATTCCAAATAACCCAATTAAAAACGGAGTACAAAACTAAACAAAGAATTATCAATTGAAGAATCCCAAATGGTCAAAGTACACTTAAGGAAATGCTCAACATTGTTAATCATCAGGGAAATGCAAATCAAACAACTCTGAGATACCATCTTATATCAATCAGAATGGATA